TGGAAATTCAAATTTAATAACTAGTCATTCTGGAGGTGTCATAGCCTTGAAAGTATCAGCCTGCAATAATAGAACTTGCAGAACCAAATTGACCCCGGAACAGAGCTTCCCTAAGTATTTAGACAAAATATTAAAATTCAAATGGACATTCAAGCTCAAGCTTGGCTTTCTTTAAAACAAACAAACAAAAAAAAGATGAAGACAGACAAAATAACTGCATCTAGGCTATAAGAACTAAGTCAGTGCGTGTTCTTAGGTTCAGCTATTCAATGAAAGCAGCTGACAGGTATCACGTTCAGAGGCCTTTCAGGTCTAAACTGAAAAACTTCAGCAGAACTTGGAAATCTTCTTTATTTATATGAACACAGCTTCACTTTTAATCCACTGATCACCAAAATGGTTAGTACCAATGCAAGCAGATTCCCTTTCTGTGCTACACAGGTTAGTCCACACTATTCTCCGCATCATTTTCAAACCGCTCTGCTCTTTCACAGTAGCTGTGTCCTTTCCTGGGAGATTTCTTTTTTTTGTGAATGCCTCAATACATACATGGAAGCAGCCTCCAACTAGGAATGGCTAAATTATATGTAACTTACTCCCTAGTTTTTACTCCATAAATGCAATTTGCCCAGCGTTTTCAAGTAAGCTACATAGAGCACCAGTCGCAGGTGAAAATTGAAAAATGGGAACTGATTCAGCTCGGGAGAGAAGACAGAACAAAAGTCCCCTCGCTGTGACAGACGGACACCTCAGCTGCGAGCAAGTAGAAGTGCAAGTATCTACGTAATGAAGTTTATTCATAGCTACTTGTGTTTTCTGATCTGTTATTCAAGGTGAAACTCTACAGCCTGGACAGTTCTTACAGAAGGCATTTCAGTTCCCATCTCTCAGTGTATGAGGAGGTGACACCGCAGCATGTATTAGCACGAGAAACACTTAACTGCATGAATTCTGCCTATGTCTTTCTACTTCTTCTATCTTTGTGGTATTTTAAATAAAACTCCAAGAAAACTCCTTAAAGGTCTCATTTGAATGTGGAGATCAAAGGCAAAATAATTACTTGAGATGCTTCCATTTTTTTAATGTGGTTATTCATCAAATAATTCTTAATCTCTAAATGTAATTTAAATACAGCTATACTTGATTAACCCAATCAATTTAGAAAGAATCGTTCTAGTTAGATCAAGAAAAAACTCCAGAACTGGCTCAGCAGTGATACCCATATGATGTGAGACTGGTTACCAGCTAGATGTGCTAGACAGAGAGACAGCCATGTAAATCGTGATGGATTAACCAGACTTGACTGTATCTAAAAATAAGTGCTACCCATAAAAATGCTAGAACATGACAAATCACAATCGTCATAAAAATATAGCCAGTGATCATTGCAAACAGATTCTTAGTAATACTGTTAGGAAAGTGCACTGCTATGAAATAGATGTGCTGAGAGAAAATCTGCTAGACTATATTTAAATAAAATAAACTTTCTGTTCACAAATAAGAAACAAAGACCATGCTGTTGATATACTAGTTTTTATCTTTCTTTGGCCCCCAGGGGTCTATGATAAGTCCATAGCTGCAAACCAATTTCAGGTATGATGAGATTAACCAGGTGCATTAATTATCTGATGGCAAAAGAATTTAAGGACAAACAAAAAGGCACTATATTATATATTTTCTCTCTGCACTAGGACTGATCCTGAAAGATCTGTCTCCTATTTCGTCCTAAACATCTTCAGTTGGAAGCTTACAGGAGTTTAGGGAATTCAGCGTGTCGCAGGATTGTATCTATTATGCCTGAATCAGATTATATATAAATCCAGTGGGTTTAGTTCTCATTTATACTGGCAGATAATGTATCAAGACCTTGATGTGAATGAGAATCAGGTTCGTGATTGCCCAAATTCAGCCAAGCACTTAAGTGTGTGTTTAATGCGAGTATGTGTGTGGTCCAATAGACTCCAAATTAAGCATGCGTTTACATATTTTGCTGAGCAAGAACCAGGGTTTGACAAAGAAATATATTTCATTTACGGGTCTCTGTTAAACAAAATTAAGCAGGCATAAGTGCAAAAATAAGAATATAGTACTCACTTCTTGGCTCCCTTGGCCCATCCACTGTAACCTTTATGGCTCTGTGGTATGTAGCGACTTGGGGGGGATTTGTTAGGACAGTTATTGTCAAAGTAAAGCTCTTCCCTACAAAGGGAAAAAAACAACAAGGAATGAGTGATTACAACATGAAAACAGTCACATGCATGTTCAGTAAAGAATCAGAGACGTTTAAAATTATTCCCTGTCGTTACCACAATCGTGAAAATTAAAAACATAACTGACCATAGGAGTTTTCCTCCCCTTCAGTTTTACTCTATGTCAAGAATATGTCCATGTGTTGACAATCTAAATGTTTCTTATTTAATAATGGGTCATCATACAATGACAGAACAAAAGTGATTCACTGCTGAGGACACGCCAAATTCTTTGCTGTATTGAAAGTGGTGTAAATCCAAAGCAAGTCAGATCATTTTAAAATTTACTCCAGTTTTGCAGCTGTGTGACAGAGAGCAGAATGTGGCCACATGTTATTTACTTCACACAGTTTTATCATTTCATTTGTTTGACTTGACTACAATAAGATGAGGAAAGAATATATTTTCCTCTCGGGAGTTATTTTAACAGGGAATCAGTGTCTCCTGTCCTTCATACGCCAGGGGTAATATGATGATATCATTATTACTGGAACACATTTTTTCCCCCTACATATATTCCATCTATGAAACACTAAGAAAGCCTCCAACTTTCCCGCGAGGGTGAGAAACTGCTGTGTGCAAGCACGTCGCTATCGTAAGCCTGGGTAGGTTTTGTTTTGTTTTGTTTTTTAATTTTTCAAAGCCAGAATTCACTCAGAGATTGCACAAGATCATCCGCAGCCCTTCAGCTGAATGAAAACGTTAAAGAGAAATAAATAAAGGGAGCTGCCTGCGTCTGAGCGCACATTCTCACACGGCGCTGGCCCCCCGTTCGGGAGACTCACTGACAGTTGTAATCTGTTAGATATGCGACGGTTAGTCATGTCAGATAGTCAAAACTGAAAACTGTTTCAAGACAGGAAAAGGTGGGCGTACAACAGTGACTCAATAAAACAGTCAGCAATCTTCGGCCTTCACGCTCATTTAAGCTGCTACTTTACCAGACACTGAAAACTCTCTTTTTCCTCCCCTCACCCCTCTCCCTGTGTGTATACGTGCATTTTTGTTGCTAGGGCTCTTCCTCTTGCTAAACTCTGAAGGCATTCAGTCAAGACAAAAATCTTAAACGGTATGTAACAGCGCAAACTTAATGCGTTTTTTTCGAGCCTAATATAGAACAGCTTATATATAAAGCATAATATAGAACAGAGCTTTGGCTGTCAAATCTAGTAATTGGTCTTTTTTTCTGGTCCAAGTCATCTATTCTCCAAACCTGTCTGGGACACGCATCATTTATTATCAGGAGTGCAACTTCAAACTGTCCTATATTTTTCAAGAACTAGTATGTGACATGGATTTTTTTTTTTTTTTTTATGGAAATATAACTGTCATTTAGAGTGAAATGGTTTTCCAGGTGTAGCTACTCTCCAGCTGTGCCCACCTCTCTGAAAGATGCAGGTTAGAGGGGAGGTCAAGACGTTGGCAAAGGTGCAAAAATCTCAGGAGGCTGAATTCTGCCCAAGTGGAGATGCACAGCTAAAGGTGGCTTTCCCGAGTTTCATTGGGAAATGGATTATTTCTCAAATCTTTGAATTTGAGAATGGTTAGGTGTATGTAAGACATACAGTCTTTGTCCAGTCCTGTCCATCCACCGTCCCCAGAGGTAACCCGGGTGTCCCGCCAGTGCACAGCGTGTGCATAGGCAGCCTTCAGATGTACAGCAACAGCCCTAATGAAGCACACAGTGCCTCCATGCCTGCTTCTTTAGGGCTGAAAAGTGTCTGTGCCTTTTATCCCTCTCCAAGTAGGAATTCAGCCTGGTACTTGGATATATATAATTTGCCAGGGACAGGTTCACGGCCTCCTTTGGTGCCAGCTTATCATGCCAAAAACTTCTGACAACTATATCGTATGATGATAACATTCAGATCACAGATACCTATATAAAATCAGTAGAATATTATTGGTAACAAAGATACTAAAGGGATTTTCCATATACCTTTGAGTGAAGAATTTGGCCTTCCAATGCTACCGTTTTATTTATATGCCAAATCAATCTAAAAGTCTATCATCACAACTGAAAATTAATCTGACAAAATATGCTGTTTCTAAGACCCTGTAAAATCACTTCTGCATGATTTCTACACTAAATGTATCTCAACAGGATACAGTGGCCAGAAAACATGCGCTTCTTCACGTATCTGCATTTTGACCTCGCCTGTGAGCACTTCTAAATTATCACCTCTCAGCCAGCCTAAGCTGAAAGGGTAAGCATCTAATTTGAAACGGAAACTGTTTTTGTCCCCTACTTGGTATTCTAACAAATCAAAACATTAATGAATTGACGGAGCCCCCTCGCACTCAGTAAACAACACATCACTTCATCACGGGGAGCTGCGCGGCCCTGCCAGCGCACTCAGGTTCCAGAGCTTTCAAGAGATGATTTACATATTACAGGATTAAGAACAAAATAAATTTTTAAGGTCCCCTGTTTCAGTGATATTTATGCCTTCCCCAGATATCCCTCCTCAGCTACGAAATCCTTTAATGCACTTTTTATCACCTTTCCTTACTGCCCTTAGTCATTTCAACTATTCACTTTTAGAGGCTAAAGACTAATTGTACTTTGCCTTTATTAAATTCCCCAGCCAAGCAGTCATCTGGCACTATTGCTTCAGTGTGTCTAAACTGTGCATTCTTTGTTATTCACACATGTGAGCCGAGCTGACACAGGAGGACGAGATGGACATATGCTGAAGCACAAGGCAAACCCCAGAAATTTTCTTGAAAGGAGACTCAGCAGCTTGTGCGTGTTGCATATTTTTTCAGTTACATGCTAATGTGATTAAAGTATCAGGACACGACAAAATTAAGGTTATGATCCTTTGCTTATTGAAGACAGGAATTCTTTCTTCTCTGCACTGTGAATCAGGCTTGTAAAAGTGAGCTACTGCCTCAAAACCACATACAAACAACTTCTGCATTCACATAAAGCGCCCCAGTTACTTATTCTTATGAAGCCAGAAAAGGTGTTTAAGAGAAATTATACAAACAAGAACGTGAAGCTTCTGTCAGGCAAGCAACATTAATATGTATAGAAATCAAGTTCCTCCATTGAGCCATGGGAAGCAAGAGAAAACGTGGGAGAGGAGGTGAAGTGGTAAGCTGATGATTCAGACTTCACAATCAAATTTAGAGATACAGAGATCAAAGAGCGAGCTGTTTAGAAAGATGTAAATCTGAAGTCAGGAACAGGTGTGGATTAGTTTCTTGCCACCGAAAAATGATTTCTTTGTTACTGTATTTTTCCTGTTCTACTTCAAGACCTGTATCTACTGATATTTGTCTACGTAAGGAGCTTTCTCACTTCTGTTTGCAACTACTGCTTTCTTTCCCTGCTATTTTAAGCGGAGTTCTAAAAATCTATCATTAATGATAACTCTTTCTCCTTCTCTCCCTCTCTCTCTCTCCCCCCCTTCTCTGTTCTAAGTCTGGAAGACAAGTCTGGACCAATTTCTCCATCCTGCCTCTGGCAGCAGAATGCAGCATTTCAGATCCTCCACCGAGTCCCGGCTGCTTCAAAGGAAAAGCCCTACTTTCTTCCGTTAAGATCATAAGAAATATAGGGGGAGGGGGTCAGCTCTGTTTGGACATAATTACACTTCATCAAAAGAAGCTTTCTTCATCTTCCATGCGTGAAAAGTCTGCAAGCAGTTAAGTCTGTCTTTTTTCTTCCTTTTTTTTTAAATATAAAAATTGCTATTTGGGAAACTAGCCAAAACTCAGAAAGCCAATATAGTAAAACAGTGCACACCCTTTGTTTTTCTTTGAAGTCTCTTAAATAAATATGTTGAGGGTTTGAAAAGTACACTATTGCTTTTCCATAGATTCTACCCAGATTGATCAGAGAAAACGTCTATTCCAAGTCTGCAAGATACAAATAGAAATTAAACCACTGGAATCAAATTTTAGGAGGTTTGTGTTTGTGTGTATCTGTAGCCATATCTACTGAGGCTTTAGGCCCTCTATTTCATTTCCTATGCTTTAATAAAAAGTATATATCATAGGTTTCAAATGAAATCCACAGATCAGAGGTAGTACATCACATTTCAGCTCTTTTTCAGGACTACTGATACATCACTGAACTTTTTACTGTAAGGCAGCAGCAGTGATGCAGCCAGAGAACTTTCAAACCTAATCCATCAGCAGAATAACAAAGCAGACTGGTTTTGTTTTTTTTTAAAGAAAGCAAGACAAATGGAAGAGAAAGGTAACACCTTATCCAAAAGGGAAATGAACTTCGTATCACATTACTTTCATGATAGTTATTCTGTATTTCAAGTTATTCTTTATGGTTGATACTTTTCGAGTTGTAAAATGATAAAGGGAATTGTTGGCCAGGTCAGTAAAATAAAAAATTGCCACTGTACACCACGCTTATCGAATCACTTTCACAAAGCACTTGTAAAAGCGTGCCAACTGATCTAAACTATCTAGGCCTCTATCATATGCTTCTTTTTTTTTTTAACAAATAAACTTTTCCTTCCTTAGGATGAATTTCAACTGCTTTCTAAAGAATGTTACTGTAAAATTAGCTTTATTATTAATTTCTCAGCACAATTGTTCAGCATCTATTGCTTTGTTTTGCCTTGTGCAGAGCTAGTTTAAAAGAAATGAATAATTACTTCAAATACATAAAGGAAAAAATATGTAGGTTGAATCAACGACGGATACAACAAAGCCCTCTGAAGACTCCTGCAGCACAAACTGAAGTGCCAGCTTCCTTCTAGCTATCCTTTCAATCATTACCTGAAATTTGAAAGCAGCTACAAGTCTCTCAAAGATAAATTCTTGCAAACTTGCAATGATTACAAAGGCTTTCTATGAGTGCAGTGCAGTTTACAGATTATAGGAAGCTCCTAAACAGCTGGAAGACAATGACAGCACTCTACATCTTCAATTAATAAAAAAATTAAAATTTGAAAGTTACCCTGTCATTTAAACTAAAGGTTAAATCTAGTTCAAGCCTAAGCTTACCAGCAATACACAAAAAGTCAACTGAAAAGAAAAGTGCAGCTTATTTTTGCAAGTCATATGCAGTCTGATTGTAAAGGGCAGGGAAGTCACTAGAAAGCTTTCCACCAATAGCTGTAAACCCTGCAAGATGTAAGCCCTTAAAGAATATAACCTATAGGACATGTGATATGCAAAATCCTCTCAATTACAGGTCTTCTACAACAACTTCAGAAGCAGCTCTACTGCTGAAAGGGAATTCTCGATCTCTCACTTCCGTGGCCTGAGATACACTCTCTGACTCCACACAGCTCAGATCACAAATGCCCCTACTTCCTTCTACCTTTGCTGCGTGATTAAAATAGGGAAGCAGGTACTCCGTGAATCATTTTTTCAAAACCTATGTCTCAAAAAAACATACAGAGACGTAAGGACTCAGAAAGACTTTGCAAGAAAGAGAAACTCTTAACTTGGTTTGCACAAGCGCTGAAGTTTGCAACTAAAAACATGAATTCATCACTCCAAACAAAAGGCTGAGGACCATTTATTTACAGACAGATCAGTATTTTGTTGCAAAGCAAACTTGACATCTAGAAATTGTTTTTCCTTCATTATGGACACATAAAAGGCAGTGGCCTACCTCTTCCACTTCTGCCCACAAATCGTAAGTCATTAAATCTGGCCACCTGGTTCTTCATCACGGCAGATGCGTTTCGCAGCTCTGCAGAGTAGTTCTCATCATTCCCAGCCATGACGGTGACCACTGTCCCATCGGGCACTTCTCCTAAGGCCACCACCTGTTAAAACAGGAAGACAACCACAACTCGTGAAGCAACACTTTGAAAATGCGTGTCTCCATCCCAGCTTTGTGGGCTGCCATGCTCATTACGAAGCTCTGTGGCAGCTCCTCCAGGCCGCTGCAGTGAAGAGTCGTGTATTAGCCGAGCACAGAAAAAAAAGTGCCACATCAAACAAAGAAATATTCTGTATTGTCTCCCTTTCTCATAGTCTAATAGGGAGTTTACATTTCTTCAGAAACATTCAGCGTCCTGATGCAGAGTGTATGGCTTAATGCTTCCTGAAGGCCAACTTTGTTCTTAGCAAGCAGTGAGCAGCGAGAAAACATGAGGCAGGGCTCGTATAAATAAATGATACATGAGAATGCATGTGAAATGGAAAGTTAGAAATTAGTATTTGCAGCCTTATCACCCAGATTTGCTTCTACTTCTCTGCTGGTTGCACTCATCACCCTGACCTCAGAGCTCCTCAGACTTCAAGCTAGAGATAAAACCCCCATCCACCCATCCCTGAAGTGGCACCAGGGGCATTAGCAGACAAAGTTCTCCACCCAACACGCTGCTGCGATGGAGCATTTTATAGCTGGAATTCAAACTCTTCAGCTGCAATATAAAACAAAGGCTGTGTTTCCTTGCAGGCATGTAAATTTTCATAGCGCTCGCAAGAGTCGCATGTGGTTAGGGTTGATATCTCCCTCAAATTCCAGGATGGGTGAACAGAAGATACCGAAGTATTTCTGCTTACATTTCAGCTAGCTGACAGCCTCACTTTTATGCTTCGGCGGTCCTGTAGTGCTCCAACATCTGATAAATGCTACAGAGCAGACAGCTACTGTCTTCTAACTTGAAAACACCAGGGACATCTACAGTGTTACCGCACTGTGACTTTTTAAAGTAAAAATACAGTTAAACGGGACTACTAAGTTACTAGGAAGAAAATACACACATTTCTTCACGTGGGGCAAGAAAGTCCACAAAAGTATCAAGAGAATAATTTCCTTTTGCTGCTGGAAATAAATTTATGGCAAAAAGAGATTTAGAAATATTGCACGGCTGAGCTCAAACTTGGAAAAAAAAAAATATCTTGAGATACAAAGTCTGTCCCCTTGCAGTTTTTACCAGTTTACATGGTCAGATATGACTTTTTATATTATTTAGAGTAATTTATTCTGTCTCCTGAAACATATATTACATTTTGTCTTAAGCCTTGCTTGAAATGTCTTTGCCATAAACAATTCTGTCTGAAACTAATAATTGCAGGTTGCCCTGTAATATTAATTAAGTGGAAAGAATGAGAAATTCCGAATATACAGGGAGAGCATTATGTGGCCCAGTGCACTGTACAATGTTTCTCTAAAACAATAAAAACTAATGACAAAGGTATACAAAATACAAAAATATTTAAAATAGGCTATATTACTGAAAATTATAGCTCGTCTTATTTAAAAGACATATTGAAGAGAAAGAAGAAAGCAAAGCTGAAATGCTGTATAAAAAGAATCTACCCTGATGCTTTTCTGTTCTTCCATAAAATACCAGGCAATACCACCCAAAACTGAAAACTGAATTTTGCCACAAACTACTGTGGCAAGCAAAAATTTTACTTTCAAGTGCTACAAACGTCCTTGAACATAAAAACACAGGAACCACCGTTGCGGATAAGATCTGAGGTCCCACTGCCTTGAGTCTGGCAGCAACCTGGTCTGACGGCTTCAAAGCAAGGTGTAAGGAATAATAAATAATAATCAAATAATAAATAATAATCTGCTGAACAGATTACAGAGCTGACTCTAATCCTGAATAAATGGATATTGGCTTAGACTCTAAAGCATGGGGCTTGAGACAACATAGAACACTCCCTTCCCAGTTTGTGATAGACCACGTTATCTCTGGACAGCCTTGTCATGCACGTTAGCATCCAGGGGAGTTGCAACCTATGCTTTTTACATCTCACAAAACAACAGCAAAAAAATAATAATAAAATCACATTAACTCCAGAAACGCAAAGAAGTCGAGAGCAGAGGAGGAAGTGCGAGTCTGCCAGGGGCCTCGGAAGAGGGAGTGAAATAACTGCAGCCTCAGCTCACCTCCTTCTCTCGAGGTTACCAGAGCACGGAGTGAGCGGTGGCATCACATCTCCGTCTCAACCCAGGCTCCTGAACACGGGTACAGCTGGCAACACCCGGGCAGGAGGGAGCAAAACCTCTTAAAAGGCCCCCCCGTCCCCTGTCTCTTTCCTCCCTACCCTTTCCACCTCAGTTCAATCTGTCAGCTCAGACTTCATCAGCCTAAAACTGCACGTGCCACTGCCAGCGTCACCGGGCTGATCGCGCCTCATCAAGAGCAGCATCCACATTACTGAACTGCACCGGCTCTTTGCTGCAGGATGATTCAGTATCATCCGGCTTCATCTCCTCCTCATGAGGAGGAGACCGAAGGAAAAGACATACTGAAATCAGAGGTGAAAAAAAAAAACTTTAGCTAATAGAAGAAAAGTCCTATT